GTTCCGTAATGTTCTGAAGTCATCACGTAGGCTGGTGTTATGAGGCGAGCGGCGACATCTTTTCCAGGCCAATTCCTTAAGTTTTATAGCAGATAGTATTTCGGTATTTAGCCAGCGGATATTTGTTTTCCTTTGCTTTAGCATAACAACCCTTTTTGAAGCTTGCGAGAACTCCTTGATTAGTAGCACAAAGGATGAGTAGATGTCAGATTGAGCTACAGATCGTTGAAAAGTATACCAATCATGAGTAGATATTAAGTGATCGAATTTTTTTTTATCTACAAGTTCAAGACGACGAAGCTTTTTGGGGATTGGTTCTAAAGCGCAAACTGAAAATTCCAAGTGGCAGGCTACAAAGTAATGGTCCGCTAGTTTGTGTGATATAACTGCCGCATTTGTTGTAGTGGATGAAGATCTTACATTGATATGGTCAATTGCCGAAATCACTAACTTATCTCCCAAGATTTCTTCCCTTGTGGGTGCAAGTATCAGAGGTTCAATACCGTGATCGGCCAAAAGAGTAAGATATTCACAAACCAAAGATTTGGAAGGTTTCAAAAGGTCGATGTTAAAATCGCCTACAAGGCAGAGCGATGCATGATTCGGCAAAGTTTGTAGGCCTTTATGCAGGTCAGAGATAAATTCGGAAATTTTCCCAGAAGGCGGTCTATAAAAGGCAAGTAAGTAGATTTCAAAGACAGAAGTAAAGATACGCAGTGATATTGTCTCCGCTGAGTTGAACGATAACTGAACATCCGAAGAAAACAACGCGTTTTTTAAGAACACCGCAATTCCACCACCGCGTTTCTTGTCTCGTGTGTAGAATATGCTTTTAAAACCAGGCAAGGAGAATTGGTTTACATTTTTGCTGTGAATATTAACTTCCGTAAGGACGAAGACGTCAGCTATGGGAAGTACGGACTTAACAGCGATAAGAAATTCATCCCAGTGCTTATTAATGCTTCGGATATTTACATGAAATAAATTGAAAGAACAACTTGAGTTAGGGTTGAAGATTTCTAAGCAAGATTGAAGGTCTTTTAGCTGAAAGAAACTAGTCATCAAAACCTAGTTGATTAGATCCAGTGCATCACTGTCAGCGATGCGAAGGACTGTTGAGCTTTGATTTTGTTTTGCATAAATTTTGCCATGCCGAGTCCATATGTATTTGAAGCCTTTCTCCTTTCCTCTTGTGCGTGCCATCCAGAAGAGCTTCCTATTAGCGTCAGTAAGATTGTCGTTGAAGTATATTCGAGGATGGGACTCCTCAAGGGGGATGGATCTTAAGCTTCCCCGAGTGGACATCCAAGTTTCTTTTAATGGGACTGAGGAGAAACGAATCAGGATTGGAGGTATTGATCCTGTTTTGGCCGGCAGACGTTGAGCAGACATCATATGTGCAGGTTGAAAATCGATCTTCAACTTTCCTGCCAGGTCAGTCATAATATCTGCCACTTTCTCATTCGACTTGAATGGAATCCCATGTATTTCCAAGTTCGGGAGGCGATTGGCTTGATCTGTGTCATTCTGGTTGGACTTGAGCTGTTGAATTTCCTTTGCTTGCTCTTCCAAGACAGAACGCAATGTACTCATTTCGGTTTGAAGTTCCTTGATGACGTTGTCGTGAGATTTGGATGACTCCACAAGAGAGTCGTATTCTGATGAAAAAAAATTCAGTGACTTGTGCATCTCACTCAGGCTAACTCTCAAAGTATCTACAGTCTGCGTCAAAAGCAGCAGAGTATCGACCTTCGGGAGTAGCTCATGAAGAGCACCAACTGAGTCTTTCCAAGAAAGAAGTAGGTCTAGTTTCTCATTAACTTCTGTGAGCTGTGCTGAGACGGCACTAGTGTTGGTTGGAGTGGATGGAATATCAAGGCTTTCCAAGTTAGCCTTTGACTGCCTTCCGCGGCATGCAGGGCAGCGCCATTTGTCTACCTTCGATGCGCTCATTCCCTTAAATGTGCTTTCAGAGATACCTGAGCATTTTTTCCCTAGGTGGTAGACCTTGGCGCATTCATCGCACTTCAGGTAGCGGCCGTCATTCGGCATGGAGTCTGAGCACAGTGCACAGAGTTCAGAAGTAGCCATGATAGTCGATTTCAGTTGAGGAAAAATGCGGAAGGTTATTGCCACCGAGGTTATGAATAAACAAAAGGAAAGCAGAATGTATAGATCCAGGCTCACCCGTGAAATAAAAGGTGCCAGTTGGCTAAGGCTACGTTAGTTTTGGGCTGATGGTGGCTCTTGAGCGATGATGTACTCGGGCCCGGCACTGAGGAAACCGTGAAAGCTGTAGCGCACGAACAACACCACACCAGATCCATACGACACCGATGATCTTGTTCGGATGCCAGTAGTGACCAGGTGTTGCCGGCAAGACGCAGCACATGAAGCCACAGAAATGCCGGTGGGAGCAGCCGTGTCGAGGTCTTGGGCTCGTTGTGAAGATGTAGGCGTGTTATAAGCAAGATGGTCGGCGGTTAGGCATAGTGGTGATTGATAAAACCTTCAATGATGTCGGAGTGAGGCAAGCACAGGCCACAAAAGGGACCCTCACCTCGGGCTCGCGAAGAATTGCCGCTGAGGACAGCCCTCATAAGTCAGATAAAGAATTGTGGGTTTGGGTTTCTTGTTTAAATTCTTGGAGTGAGGCCAACGAACATCTTAAACCCGTGGCTTCTTCTTCTTCTCTATAATAATAATAATAATAATAATAATAATAATAATAATAATAATAATAATAATAATAATAATCAATCAATCAATCAATCAATCAATCAATGTTTTTATTCGTGCCCGGGAACAACCTTGCGGTCTTGGTACAGGTGCACTGTGTTAACATGTAAGGCAGAACAGGGTATAAAGCAATAGTACGGACAACACAAACAACGGACAAGCCCTAGAAAAATACACTTAAAAATTATAAAAAGTAAACACAAAGTCACAACACACGATAAGCTTAATGGTACTACCGCCAACACCAATTGCTAGAAAGAAAGAAAAAAAATGCATTCAAAGTGGGGAATTTCGGCGTGAACGCCGCAAGTTAGTGCATACAGTTCAAATTTAAGGCCACGGTCCCACTGAATGTGGCAGTTTAGGTACTTTTTGGCAGGCCATTACTCATCTCCTTTTAAATACTGTTTTGTGGGATTGATGTCATTCGAAAGGCAACGCAATCTTCTTTCCTTTGATATTATGTATGTGTTGGTTTTACTGTTCTTGCGTTGCGAATATGATGGCGCGGACCCTCACTTGCTCCGCTAGTTCATGTTTTATGAACGATCCATTAAAAATAGCACGGTTCCAATATAGCAGTTTTGTTAAGATGATGTCGGAGCAGAATCAAACGATCCACTTTTTTGATATTTGCACTACTTTGCTTTTTTCATCCCTCCAAATATTGCCCTAAAATTGACATTTTTCAGCACAAATATGTTTTTAATGACAAGCGCTAGGGCAATGAAATCAGCTACAGATGTAGTGCTTATAATTGGTGATATGCAGACAAAAATTTAATGTTGTGTAAAATTTGTTTGTTTAGATATTTTATATCAAACGTAGCACTTTTTTGTGCTTCGAGTCATGGTAGTTCAAATGCCGCTGAAGAAATAATTAAACTATGATAAAATCTTTTATAACATTTAGGGCTACAGTGGTTGCCCAAGAGGTGGACGATGGCTTTTTTTCATTTTCAAAGTCATAACGCTCCAGGAGCCCTTCAAACTTACCTGTTTTTGACGCATATCTGTTTTGGACATCAAACAGATTTATTGGCATTTAATAACATTTATCGTTTGGAATAGATATACATTGCGATGTATTAAATTTTCACAATGATCTTGCTTTGGTTTCTTAATAGGTGTAGAGCTTAGCTAATTTTAAAAACAATTAAAAACTGTTTGGGTGTTTTGTTGCGCTACCTGGCGGATGGCAGACAAACTGCTGATTTCTAGTGTTCAAAAAATTTCCGAGGGCGGCGTTGGCATCGGTATCATCATCAATCTCCGTGTCTTTTTACCTTCACATTTAAAAAATATATTGGAAGATTTACTATCGATAAATGAATGGTTTAAGTATTGGGTCAGGCTAATAAATCTAAGACAAATAATTACACAAGCGTAGCGTAATATAATGCGTTCATTATTCGATATGATTGAAATCAATAAACAATAAAGACGAAGAGGAAAATAATACACTCGAGTTCACTTTATGCCTAGAGTCACTACATGAGCTTTAAAGTATCGGCACTCAGTTCCCCAAAATTGGTTTGGGCGCCGCCATTTTGGGTCTTGCTCAGAGCAAACGCAACTGCCGATCATCATGATCCAGAAGTACGACTTCCTCAGCATTAGATGCAATGCTGGGAAGCTGATGCAATATTGAAATGCTCTGTCGTGGGTTGTTTAAACATTTGTGAGGGACGGAAAAGCGTTTCCTATGATTTTAAATAAAGCTCCATATAACTGGCAACCATGATTTTAAGCCACAATTTTAAGCCAAGTGTCGTTACTCGGAACCGCAAGCTAATTTACTGGCACAAGCGGGAACAATGAAGAAGAGGCAGGTGTCAAAAGGTAGTGGCTTGTGGAATCCACGGGGCTTACGTCATGGCCCCTCCAGGTATTACAAGCCTCTTGAACAAGAGCATGAATAGTGTCATTAAATAAGCTACGCTTCAGAGTAGCGACACTTGGCCTTATTGTGGCTTAAAATTATGGTTGCCAGTTATTTGAAGCTTTATCTGAAATCACAAGAAACGCTCTTCCGTCCTCCACTTTAAACAGTTTTCGACAAAGCAAAGCAACATTACATGAGCTTCCTAACACCGAATCTAATGCTGAGGACGTCACACTTTTGAATCATGACGATCGGCAGTTGCGCCTGATCTGCACAAGCAACAAAATGGCGGCGTTCACAACACTGTCGGGGAAGAGAGTGCCGATACTCTAAGCGCAGCTCATTTATTGGCTCTAGTTCTCGCGAGTGGAGTGGGTAAACTTTATTTTAGCCTGCAGTAAAACGCGCGCTTGCGCGCGCGCTCCGGACGGGGCCTACATCGTCTTCTGGGCGCTGGATCCCTGCCGGGCCAGCGCCCCGATGACCTGCTGGACGGCCCAGAGTTGTTGTTCTTGATTATCGCTCCCTGCGGCTGCTTCAAGTCGCAGCGGGATGCTCCCAGACTTTGATTCTTCCGGGTACTTGATACAATCCCACAGCATATGTGCGAAGCCGGCCGTCTCCCTTCGGCAGACTCTGCACTTGTCTGTCGGGTGCGCCTCGGGATACATTCTATGCATCAGCAACGGGCTGGGGAGTGAGCCCGTCTGCAGCTGTCTAAATAAAACGGCTTGTTCTCGACTGAGCCCCGAGCAAGGTGGTGGGAGAGTTCTGCGAGCTAGGCGGAAAGCCTTGGTTATCTCGTTGTAGTCGGTCATTCGGTCCTTGGTGCTGAACCACAGCGGCCAGTCGGTCGAGGCGCGGTCCGTTAGCGCGCGCGCCTCGGCATGTGCTGTCTCGTTGTGGTTGGCGTTTCGATCCGACGCCTCGCCCGCGTGCGCGGGGAACCATTTGATTCTCACTTGTTTGCTGCCGCCGTCGTTCTTGGTTGACTGCAGTATGCGCACCGCTTCCTTCGATATCATGCTTTTGGCATAATTCCTCACCGCCTGCCTCGAGTCACACAGCACCGTGTGGCAGTCGCGGTCGACGATGGCCAGGGCGATGGCTACCTCCTCCGCTTGTTCTGCCTTGGTGCATCTCGTGCTGGCGGTCGTGCGAACGGTGCCGGTCGCGTCGACGACAACTGTCGTGAAACCGTGTAGCTTGGCGTATTCAGCCGCGTCCACGTAGCGTGCGTGTCCGTCGGCCGCGTGCTGATCTATCAGGGCCCTGGCTCTCGCCGCTCTCCTCCCTTTGTTATACTCCGGGTGCATGTTCCTCGGTATAGAGTCCACTCTGATGTTGTTCCTGATCTCATCGGGGATGGGGAGCTGCGTCCGCTCCCTGCCTTGGTAGCCAACTCCCAGGTTGTCCAGGATTTTCCGGCCGGCCTTGGTCGTAGATAGTCTTTCGAGTTGAGCGTTGCGTTGGGCTTCCGCTATCTCCTCTAGCGTATTGTGCACCCCCAGCTGCAGGAGGCGGTTGGTGCTCGTTGTTTCGAACAGTCCCATTGCCGTCTTGAAGGCCCTACGGATGAGTATATTTATCTTGTTTCTCTCGCTCTTCTTCCACTTGTGGTAGGCCGCCACGTACGCTACGTGGCATATGACAAACGAGTGGATGAGTCTGATCAGGCTCTCTTCCCTCATTCCACTTTTCTTGGTCGTGACTCGCTTGAGTAGTCTCGTGGCGTTTGCCGCTTTCGCTATGAGCCGGGTGACAGTGTCACCGTTTCTGCCGTGCGTCTCGATCGTCATTCCTAAGATTCTGATCTTGGTGACTCTTGGGATCTCGTTTCCTTCTCTGCTCTTCACTTTGATTGCCTCGTAGTTTCTCGGGCTGCTCTTGGGTTTGCGGTGCTTGACGGGCGGGTATACAAGGAGCTCCGACTTGCTCGGCGAGCACCTGAGCCCCGTTCCGTCAAGGTGGTCTTCGATCGCGTCGACAGCCGCCTGTAGAGTGGATTCGATGTGGGCATCGCTGCCCCCTTCCACCCACAGCGTTATGTCGTCCGCGTATATCGTGTGTCGAACTTCCTTGATGTTTCCGAGCCTTTCGGCCACTCCTATCATCACCAGGTTGAAAAGCATCGGCGAGATGACTGATCCTTGAGGTGTGCCTGTGCTTCCCAGCTTCTTCTCTTGCGCTTGGAGATCCCCCGCTCTGAGCTCGGCAGTTCTGTCCGTGAGAAAATCTTTGATGTATTTGTATGATCTCTCTCCCATGTTGAGTTTCGAGACTTGGCATAGGATCGCCGAGTGCCTCACCTTGTCGAAGGCGCTCTGCAGATCGAGTCCCAATATCGCTTTGTTGTCGCTGGTGTTGCCGTCGATGATCTGGTGCTTGAGTTGAATCATTGCGTCTTGGGTACTGAGGTGCTGCCTGAAGCCGATGATCGTTTCCGGGTAGAGGTCCTCTTTCTCGAGGTATTCCTGCCACCTCTTGAGCAGGACGTGCTCCAGCACCTTGCCCATGCAAGACGTGAGCGATATGGGTCGGAGGTTGTCGGTGTCTGGTGGCTTGCCCGGCTTGGGGATCAGGATAGTCTTGGCCTTCTTCCACTGCGTCGGCAGCGTTCCCGTTTTCCAGCATTTGTTGTAGTAGCTCGTGAGACTTTCGATGGATTTGTCGTCGAGGTTCTTGAGTGCTTTGTTGGTGATGCGGTCCGGTCCGGCCGCCGACTTGCTGTTGAGGTCTTGCAGCGCCGTGCGAACCTCCTCTACGTCTATGTCTCTGTCAAGACGCTCGTTGCGTAGCCCCCCGTACGGCCCGTGGCACTCCGTTGGAGTAGTCGGCAGGTATCTGTCGCTGATGCGCTTCGTCACATGCTCGGCTCCGTGTTTAGTGACCTCTCGATGGATAAGTTTCGCCAGTCGGTCTCTTTGGTGTGACTTAGTCTTAGTTTTGTCGAGCAGATGCCTAAGCAAGTTCCACGTTTTCCCGTTATGCATCTGTCCGTCGGCGGCGTTGCATATCTCGTCCCATTGTTGGGCGCATAGCGTGCGACAGTATTCCTCGATTGTCCTGTTAAGTTCTGCGACTTTTTTCCGTAGCCTACGATTGAGGCGTAGCTTTTTCCATCTGTTGAGTATGGACTGCTTGGCCTCGATGAGGTGTGCCAGTCGGCTGTCCATTGTGTTCGTTTCGAGGTCTGTTTCTATGTTCTTGGTTGAGTTTTGAACGTCTTGAATGATCTTGTTGGTCCATGTTTCGATGTCATCAATTTCGGTCTCTTCTTCCGCCTCCTGATTTCTGTTATCTCTGAATGCGGTCCAATCGATCCACGTATGTTTCCTGACATTAGCACTGCTCTGCTCCGGTATGACGATTTCCACTATCATGTGGTCGCTGCCGAGGTCCATCCCCGTGTTCCTCCACGTGATCGTGATCGGTTCATTGTTCTTGACGAACGTGAGGTCAGGGGTGGTATCTCGGGACACGGAGTTGCCCATTCTCGTTGGGAGAGCCGGGTCGGTTATGAGTGTGTAGTCGAGCTCCGCCGCATCGTGGGATAGGTTTCTGCCTTTCGCATTACTCTTGACGTAGCCCCACGCCGGATCCATAGCATTAAAGTCGCCGCACGCGACCAGCGTGCTCTGGCCGGCCGTCGTGCTTGCCTTGTGAAGAATGGCTTTGAACCTCTGCAGTCTCTGCGATGGGTTACTGTAGATATTCAAAATGAAGATGCTGTTTTTTCTTTGCTTGGTCGGTATGAGTTCGGTGAGCGTGTGTTCGATCCTGACGTTGCTTAGTCGATGTTCGACGAAGGTGAGACCCTTCCTGACCAGGGTGCACAGACCTCTGCCGTCGGACGGGCCCGCGTGCACCCTGTAGCCGGGGAGGGACGGCTTTTCCGTTAGCGTTTCTTGGAGTAGGAGCACGTCGGGCTTGCGCGCAGCGTGCTCAATGTGTTGCTGGATAACTGCCCTTTTCTTGACTAAGCCGCGGCAGTTCCACTGCCACATCGTTATGCCTGTGGAGCTGGAGGCCATGATGGTCCTATTCGAAGTTCTCCGGGTTGCTGCGCTTGGTTGACTTGCTGCTGTAGGGGCCCGAACGTTGGGTTGCTTAGGGTTAGTTGCAAGCTCCTTTCCAGGTTATTGAGTCTGTTGACGTTCTCCGTTTGGAAGGCTTGGATGGCTTCCTTCATCGATTTGATCATATCCTCGAGGCTGCTGAGTTTCGCCTCGACATTGTTGTTGCTGCTGCCGGAGCTGCTGCTGCCGGAGCTGCAGCTGCTTACGTTTTTCGTGGTCTTACGCAATTCGAAGGCCCTTTTCTTCGGTGCCGGTGCTTTATCTCCGTCTGTCGTAGCTTCTTCGACCTTGTTGTTGTCGCTCGGGCAGGATCTTGGCTGTTCGATGGTGCATAAGACGTTGCGAATCTCCGCTATTTCCTTGGTGAGGTTGTTGATGGTGGCTCGCAGGGACGCGTTCTCCTGTTTCAGGGCCTCGTTGATTTCTCGTTCCTTGGTTGAAGCTTTGTCTTCTTTCTTGGCATTGTCGTTCGAATTGGTCTTCTTGATACCTCGTGCGGCGTCGGCCCAACTGACTCTCTCGCGCGACTTTGATCTTTGGCTTTTTGTTTGTCGCGCGTCTCTGCTCTGGCTCCTGCTGCTGCTATTTCTCGACGGCGCGCGGTTTCTCGATGGCGTCCTTGACTTGCGGGCAGCTGGCTCGTCGAGTAGCGGGAAGTTGCTCTCCAACGGCAGCCAGTCGCTGACGTTTTGCTTTCGGCGCTCCCACTGCCGCTTGCGGACGACGTAGGGAACCTTGTATTTGGCTTTACATTCTCTATCGGCGGTCAAGTGAGCGCCTCCGCAAAGTTTGCATTTGGGCGTACATTTGTGGTCTTCCTTTGGGTTTGTTTGGCCGCAGCCCCTGCAGATGCGGTTGGTTGGAGTTGGGCACACGTCCTTGCGATGCCCGACCCGGCCACACTGGTGGCAGACGTCTATTTGCTTTCTATACAGGTTGCACGGTATGAGCGTGACACCGTATCGGACAAAGTTCGGTACCTTGGGTCCTCCGAAGGCTACAATGATCGTGGTCGTGTTACCGATTCTTTTGGCTCCTACGGCGAGTGGGTTTCTGTCGTTTACAATGTTGCTGTCGAGTTCTTCGGCACTCGCGTTGACAGGGATGCCGCGGATGATGCCCTTCACGGTGTCGTGCGGCGCCGTGCGGTACGCGCTGACTTCGAAGGTCTTGTCTTGAATGGATATCGTTTGAATTCTCGCGTAGCGGACGGCGTTTTCCTCCTTAGGCGTGCTGACTACCATGATGTTTTGTAGCGCGTTTGGGCAAATGGTGTCTGATGCGTTCTCTTCAGTCGTAATCTTGGCCGCGGCGAGAATGGCCGTGGCGACGGTCGTGGTGCCAATCTTGGTAATGTCCAATCCCCCACGGGGTCTGATGACGATCTTGTTTTCCTCCAGCGGCATGGCTGGCATTCTCGCTGCCTTGATGGCCGAGGCTCTAACGTTCTTGTTACCCTTCGCATTCTTGCTTACTTGGTTGTCGGTGCCGGCGAGCTTCGCGACAAGGTCTCGTTGACGTAGTCTGGACATGCGTTCCCCCACTTGCGTCCATCCAGTGCCGCTGTGGAATTCCTCTGGTGAAAGATCTTCGCCTTGAACTTGCACGCACATTTGGGAGTCGAAGATCGTTGCCCGAGCGGACGTCCCCTCCATCTCGGGGCTTAGTGGCCGCCGCCGAAACGGCGAGCCGCGGCAGGAGCGACAGCGACTAGGCCTATCGCTCGTGGAGCACACCTAGGCCTAGCGGCCCCGCGCACGACGGTGGTGGAAAATGTCTGTTATTTCGGCAAAAAAGGCGTACCTTTGGGAACTTTGTTATCCGTTGGCGTCTCTCGACTTCACAAACTCACTGGGATACACAAGACCTTGAATCGCGCAAATTAATACTGCGAAATTAACCATAAATGACGGAGCCGATAGGAACTAGTCCGTTCGCTTCGGCGTCCTCTTCTTCTTCTAGTTCTCGCGAAACTCATTTTCCCTGACTGAAACTCAAAGTAAATATGAATAATACACCATCATTATAGCTTATTTAGTTATAACAAAATACACATAATGAGAGGAGGAAGCGGGCGGGTAGGAGAAACGCGGGTTTTATGTGCGACCGTTCTAACCGTCTCAAAAGAGAGAACACACAAGCTTGCGCTGGTTTCAAAAAAAAAAAAAAAAAAAAGGCACCAAAAGAAAAGATGCGGCACGCTGTGTTCTTTGTTATTATGCGTCTAATTGCAAATTGTTGTGTGTATGTTTATACAGCCGGAAATTAGTCTGCTTTAGTGGGCGTCTGGTGTCTCAGCTGTAGATGAACAATTTAGCCAATGCGGTACAGCCGCAAACCTGGGGTCTTTAACGTGCACCACGCAGTAGTGATATACGACCGCACGCCGGTACGATGCTCTTCCAGATCGAAACGGGCAGGGGCGGGGTGGCTTCTGCAGCGCGAGCTTTCGCTCCAAGTGCTCCGAGCTGGTGAGCCCTAGACCATGCACTCGGCCACCAACCCCCCCCACCCCCCTTTTCTTGTGCGTCTAATTTATATACAAGTATAAGTATTTGAAGATCGACGATGGACGTCGATCGTCTCGAGGTAATGTAACGTAATAACAATGTATAAATAATAAACTTGTTGAAGGACTGAACGACTAAATTTTTCAATTCTTGGATTGTAATATGGCGGTAGCCTATTGTACTTACTGTTGATGAAGAAAAATATGAGGTGACGAGGTAATTATTAATTGATGAGGCTCTATAAGGACAACGACATTAGTGGGTGTCGAACCACAACGTACAGCGCCAGAATTGTTTCAAGTATCGTGTACCCAAAGACTTTCTTCACCCGGAACAGTATAAGGTAGAATCAATGAGGATGCTGCTTTACAACTGTACGTTGAACAGGAAAACTGCACTGTGCAGAAGTGCGGCTTATTCGTTAATATGAGGGTCGGATTTCTAACAGCATTCCCTGATTGACTACTTGGAACAAATGGCCTCGTTGACGTAAGGTGTCCCCGTTCCAAAAGATTCTTGAAGCATACTTAAACCGCAAAGGAGTATGAGGCGAAAAATAAGAAAAAGGAGCCTGGTGTGAAAGGTCCATATCACCACTATAGCTTCTACTATCAAATACAAGGGCAGTTAAACAATACACAAAGAGAGTTTTGTGATTTAGTTATATTTACACTTAAGGTCATTGATATCCAACGTATTCAGAGAGATGACACCTCCTGGTCAACCAACATAGAGCCTTTTCTACTCAAGTTTTACATGGAAGGCCCCACTTCCGCTGAAATTCCTCACGTAGACGAGTTGTCCGACCGATTAAACTGCCATTACTCTCTATCTGGGAATCTCTCGATCTTTGTTCGTAGGCTACAGCAATATGAGATCGAGGGGTGTGGCTCTTCGTCCACCGAATATTGCTTCGGCGGGTTTTTTTTCGTGTAAGATGAGACCGTCGCGTGCTGCCGGAACAAGAACCTGGCGATTCTTCACTGAACTGCTTCTTCCGTAAGCTTCAAAAGGGTTTTTTTTTCGTTTCGCAGATCATCTGCACTGCTTGCCCGTTAGTTGCAGGATGGTGTGGTGCACTAATGTGATGCCTTATGCCGGTTTTTTTTCTTCAAAAACTTGTTTATTTTATTTGAAGCAAAATTTTGCGCGTTATTAGTAGGGCTGGGCAATTGATCGATTAACCTACCGATTAATCGATTAAGGCTTTAATCGCGATTAATTTTTTTAACCGGTTAACCGGTAATTAGTGTTTTAACGACCCAAAATAAAATGAAGAGTAAACGGTTTCACCACGCAGACGTGGACGAGAACACCTGTATGAAGAGTAAACTCTATGTCAAAATATAGTGTAAAGTGAACTCTAGGGGCAAGATTTGTAGCTCCTGAGAAGTGCAGAAGGTTACACGTGTAGTTTAGCGCAACAGAGACTATAGTTTAAACAATTAAAGGAGGCTGCTCTTGCCGGATAATATCAACGAACCTCTTTACCTCATGCAGCTGAAGTAATAGTATGTGAGTGCAAGTACCTTTGAACTGTTTTTAACCACACATCAAGGTTGATTCATAATAAAAATTGCATATTTCGTCTTTTATCTCATATTCAGAACATGCAAAAACAGAAAACACATATTAATTTTGACTTTTTTAAAAATATTATGCATAAAAATTAACATGACCGATTAATCGATTAATTAATCGATTAAAGGGTTGCGATTAATCGGGTTAAAACTTTTAATCGACGCCCAGCCCTAGTTATTAGAGAAAAGTATTTTCGGTAGGGCAAAAGTAGGTAAAAGAGACCGTAGAACGTCATTGACGTGTTTGGACGTCGTGGCAGGCATCGTGTAAACTTCCAGCCACTTAGAGCACGCATTGCCCATGACTCCGTAGATGGATACGTTTCGCCACCCACCGACTGAATAGTGGATCGTTTTCAGTTACTGTTCATGATGGCGTTGGATTCAAGGAAGACTTCGAGTATTTCCACAAAGTTAGCCCAGGTGCCAGGACTTTTGTCGAAAGCGGCAAGTGTTCGAAACGTCGACAACGTTGGTAGCCACGTGTTGTGCTTGACACTGGACACTTACCATTCGCTGAGAAGAAACTTGCTTGTTCGTCTGCCATGAGTCGTCCGATATCAAGTCATCACCGCAACACCATCTCCCGACAAAACTGGTCTTCATTGTTCGCATGTTCATAGTTAGCAATCACGTCAACTTATAAATTCCCGAACGCTCATAACATTGCCGTCGCTAAACGCCGTTCATTCATAGCGTCTTCATTGCAAATAAACGTCTTCCTATTTCTTCTGATGGTTTTCCTAAGCTGTACTTAGAACATTATGTGTGTCGGTACTTCCGAAAATATTGCAACGGCGTTTTTTTTTCGGGAACTATAATGTAACAACCTTTACAACATCTTCCGGACCCCGTGAAACACAATATTTCGTAACGTTATTTTAGTCGTCATTAAAATGGTGAGGTAAGTACCGTAAATCGCGAAGCAGTTTACTTGACGTCCGCTTCCACTGGTTGAGTCTACTGAGCGTGCATTCCTGCAGAAGAAATTTTCATTGATAGAATATTGACACGTGAATCAACATTTGATTCCTTCTTGGTAAGATTTATTGCGAAAGCCCGTTACAACCGCCGAACCGTATGTCCCTACATCAGAGAACAATTTATACCCAGCCTGACATTCTCGCATACATCCTTTTGCTGGGCCACGCTACTTGAGCTAGCTGAGCACAGCTGGCAGCGGCGCGAGCAAGGCCACGAGGGGAACGTTATGGTGCTCGAGCCATCCCACTGTGAACCAATGTTTCGGCCACCCCACGGGTGCGTGTCGCCATCTATTGGTTGAACTAACGCCTTGTTCAAGATGGCTGCCGTGGGACCGCAGCCTTAAGTGATGGCCTTTAACGTTTTTACAAACTGCAGCGTGTTATTGTTAAATATGTCGAGTGTTTCAGAAAAAGAAGAATTATAAGTATGCCCAAGTCTGGACACAGGATCGTGGAGGTTGAGTAGACGCCTGTTGCAGAAGGACGCATTTTGCCTTGTTGTTTTTAGAGGAATTTTTAAGAGTACTCTTGACGTCAATACCGTGCAATCAGTGACGGCGTGGACAAGTTTGTATAAAAATAAGATATCGGCAAGTTCTCTCCTACGAAGCAGGGTAGGTAGTGCCA